GCATGGGCCTGGCCATTACATGGCTATTGTACACGCCTCTGACCATTGGGAGGTGTGGAACGACGGTGTCATGGTCCATGCCATGAGTGATATTACTGATTTCTTACTCTATGATGCTGTTCTCTTGCCACATCAAACTGTCCGCAACCACGAGATGGTTTCTGCATCCATGTGTGTACAGGATTGTCCCTCCGTTCCTGACTGCAGGCACCCTCCTCATCCGGACACTATATGTCCATTTTGTGGCCACGGACGCTATGCTGAACGCATGCTCTTTTGTGGGGGGCGTTCTTCCTTTATTCTGGCCTGCAATAGACATGCTATTTGTCAGGAATGTATGGTTGACATGCTTAATGCCAGCCGTCGTGGAAGTTGTTGTTTTGAGAATGCTCAGTTAGGTCTTCCATGCGCTCATCYACCCCATCCTTACAATGTGTGTCCTTTCTGTCGTCAAGGACAGCCTCATTCTTGAGCTTTTCCCTGTGTTTAACACCTTCCCCTTCACTCTGCCTCTCTCACAGCGTGCAAGTGGGCTGTTATGGCATACGGGGATGGGGGTAGCTCGCGCTCAACTTCATCAACGTGGYGAGCCTTGCACGTGAGAGGCACAGTGGAGGTGGAGTGCAAAGAAGAATGAGAAATTTAATGGTTTCAATCTGCCCTTGTTTTTTCTTTTTGTTTTTGTTTTTGTTTTTATTTTTGCATGTTATCACTGTGCCCGTTTTTTGCTTTTATTCTTTGTTCCGCAAAGTGCGCTCTTTTAGTTTGTAGTGATGTGACAATATATATGAGTTGTGCACCGTGTGAATCCAGGTCTAGACTTGAGGCACAGAATGTTCTAGAGGTTCTCGATCGTCTACTCTTTCATCTGAGGTAGAATTCGTCTTTGCTCCTGTGCTGGATTTGTGTTTTGTATGTTTCTTTCTGGTGTGTCTGTGTGGAAGTGGGTTATCTTATGTTTCAAGACTGTTTTTCTTGTCTATTTCTGCCGTTGCGAGGGCATACTCACACTAGGACTTTTTCTATGAAGCTCTGGACTTGATGGGCGGTCAGATTTGTCTGCACGGCCAGTCACAGTGAACTTTTCTGGGTGCCCTCGCTGACAAACCGTCCACCCAAGAGAGGTGCTGGGCATAGGTCTCAGACACCGATCAATTGTTGGGGATAGAACTGGAGGCGAGGGATTCTCTTTTCTGAGTACAGGTGGGCGATAGTGAGATTTGTTTGCGCTGCCAGGCAGCCATCTGTTCTGAATGTGCCTGCTGACACACCTCCCACCCAAGAGCTGCTGGGCACAGGTCTCAGAGACCGACCAATGGTCAGGGATCTCTGGGGAAGGTTGGAGGACCTACATTTCCCCCCCTGATCCCTTTCCTGTTTCTTCGATCTGGATTACGCGGGATGATGGGTGAGAGCACAAGGGATGCCCCTGGTTGGCCCGGAGCAATATGCGTGAAGTATGGACCGCCTGTGTGAACCCATCTCACTGTTCCGAACCGGTCTTTTGTTTCTGTATCATTGGCACACTTCTAGTAGAAGCTTTCACCCAGCCGGCGAAGATGTGTGTTATAAACACACACATTAGGTGGTGGCCATGGCCTCGTACCGGAGCCATGGCGTAGTGGAGTGGCCAGAGGGTCCTCAAGAGGACAGCAAGAAATTTACTCGTGGAAGGTTGTGACCGGCGCAGAGCAGCTCAGAAGAATTGCACTTACGACGCTCCACTCACGACCTGCACTGAACCAGGGTTCTAGACGCCCAACCTAAGGTTCTAGACTCTAGTCATGCACAGCTATAATTGCTTCGGACAACAATTGAAACCAGAGGCACGGCTGCCGATTCGCAGCACACCTGCCTATGCTGCGATGCTCAGTAGACTCCTGTACCTTTGAAAGAGAGCTGGAAACTCTCTGAATTCGAGCGGAAAGGTACAGGGAAGAAAGCCACAACGAACTATTTTACACAAGTGTAAGCTTCGGTACCCGAACATTACGGGGAGTACACCTTGGTCCGGGACCGCCTCCATCTTTAGGGAAGGTATAGCTGTTCTCGTTGTGCTTTCTATCTCAGCTCCCTCTCTCTCTCTCTCTCTCTCTCTCTCTCTCTCTCTCTCTCTCTCTCTCTCTCTCTCTCTCTCATTGGTGCTGACGTAAACGAGGATCCAGAGGCTAGCATTGATGTCATTGAGATGTAATCGATGTGCTCTTGAGCACAGTGAAGGCAACATTTGGCCAAATCTGACAGACAAATGATCACTCTAGTTCGATCCAGCTTCAATTTCATGTGCGGCAGGGCATCAACAGCCTGTTTTGTATCGAGCGGAACCTCAATCGGGCATGCAGAAGTCAGTCAGAGCGTTCTCCATGAAAGATGTCAATCCTGTCATGATGTTCTTTTTTCTTCCCTTTCTTTCTTTCTATCTTCCTTTCTTTGTTTCTTCGAACTTCAGGAGGGCAGTCTGGCTTTCAATTCAGGCTCTAATCTTCAACGTTAGCAGGCTGTCGCATCAAAACACGAGGAGCATCATGTGCAAATGTGTTCATTCCTCTCCTTCGACTGTATGCATCTTCCTGTTCTTTCTTCCCTCTAACCCTTGCCCACCCTCGCTCTCGAACTCCTCCTCTCCTGCTGTTCTTACACTTTCCCCCTCTCCCCCTTGCCCTCTCTCCCCCTCCGTTAAATTTGTTTTTGTCCCTAATGATTGCATGTTAGTGTAGCAGCACACCATGGGACCAGGGTGTGTAAGTTCTGGGTTTTCAAGTGGTTCCATTATGGGCCTCATGCAGTGAGAAGCAAATTTCCGCTGCCCCCTTCTTTTGTGATATGTACCATGTATCCTTATGTTTTGGCTGTGTGGTTGATTGTGTGGGCATGCACACATTGCAGGATGGCGGACTCTCTTGGCCAGAAGCTTTGTCGGACGGTCAGCCCCAGGCAATGGAGTCGGAGCTGCTCTTGTTGGCGTTCCTTTGGATGAGTGGGGAGAAGTTGGGCAGAGTGAGGTAGGAGGACACAAGGAGTGTAGGAAAGCACAAACTTGGCAATGATGCAAGGAGGTGGTGGGTTATTGCAACCTTCCCTCCATGGGATGAAAGTGACCTGGCAATGTAAAGGGGAGGAGGAGACGAGGACGGTCTGAGAGCAACCAGGCAATCGATGCAAGAAGGCGGTGCCTGGCAATCGATGCAAGAAGGCGGTGGTTTATCACAACCTTCCCTCGATGGGATGAAAGTGACCTGGCAATGTAAAGGTGTCGAGTTGGGGTTTGTTGTTGCCTGATGGGAGGTTACGGCAGTCTAATGCTTTGAGATTGATCTCGGCTTGTGGGTATGACTGGCTTGGTAGCCCAAGTCCGTAATAGCCACCATCCAGGACCAGTTGGGAAAAGCAACAAGGCTCGGCGGCCTTGGAAGGGGGATTCTTCCTCTGTGGGGCAAGTAACCCATCCTGTGCCCTCCTTGCTTCCTCCCATCTCGTCACCGAAACCGACGAGGAATGGCGGTGCGCCGGATGCTAGGCAGGTGGTGGTCGGAAATGGAGCCAGAAAGATGGGTAAGAGGACGGAGGCAGGATTTCCTGCCGTCACAAATGCTCCTGTCTGCCGCACATCAAAGGGTTGGAAGTCGCAACAAGCTCCAGCCCATGAGGAGAAAGCACACCACAAACTTGCTGGCAATTGTTCGTGTCCATCTGTCCATTCTTCTGGCCTCCCATCGCCGTACTCCCAAAAGGTTTCCGGTTTGGGTAACACCCGTCGCCGCAGTCCAAACAGGGTGATCCCTAGAGCAGGTGGAGGTGTTGGATGCCATGTCAAAGACCCAGGCAAACAGGAACCAAAATGTGAAGGAGGTACCGAGCGCGGAGGAGAATTGAGTGGGTGGAAAGGCGGACGAGATTGTGGTAGTGGTTGTGGCGGCGGCGGCGGCGGTGGTGGTGGTGGTGGATTGAGGTGCGCTGTTGAGTCTGGCGAGGCAGATCGTGCCGGCAGCGGTTTGCGAGTCAAAGGGAGGTTGGGAAGATTGGAAACCTATGACACATGGAGGGATGTTTATGGCGGGACTCCGAAGGCAGGAGGAATTTTGGAAGGGGGGTTCCGGGGTGGCGGAGGTAGTAGGCGTCCACGGCCCGGTGGAAAGAAAGTTGTTTCGCCGCGCTCGCAGGGTGCAGCGGAGGCAGCAGTGCCTTCGTACGAGAGGCATAACGTAATCAGAAGTGAAGGGTCATGTGCTACAACAAGCTACAGAGAGCTGGCGGATGGAAGTGTCATGAACGGCAAAGTGGAAGAAGCGGAGAATGCGGAAGTCAAGAAGTCGAGAGAGCCGCTGGCAACCAAGCTGTGTACGTGTGTGAATGGCTCCAATCTGTTCTCTGAGGTTCCTGGATCCTCACCCAGATCGATCGACGTGGCACTGGGGTTGAAAAAGTCGTCTATCGGGCAAGGCCGCTTCACCATTCATTCTGGTCCAGGTATGGCGGACACAACGGACGAGATCATGGGAATGGATAGAGTGCAGACAGCAGATGCGATTCCTAGCAAGTGGGAGACGGCCACAGCGAGTGACAAGGGCGAGCAGAAGATACAGAGTGAAGGAAACTGTCCTACCAAAGGCTATTCCATGGATCCCATGAAGTCCTTCATCGAGAAGCTGTATGATCTTCTGGAAGAGTTAACCGGGAACCATGGGTTCTATTACGAGCACACGAATGGGCTTGGGAGGTGGAAGATGGACAAAGGGGCTACTGAGAAGGATGGGGTTGATCAAGGGAGCGCGAAGTCTAAGTGGAAAAGCCCGGTATCCCTTCCCCCGATCGCCGGAGCCGATCAGAAGAGGGAGGTGAACAAGAAGATGGGCGGGGCAATAGCAGAAGCTGTGACTGCTCTGGACTGGGCCGGGCCAAAGTCAGCGGCGAAGAAGAGTCCTGTTATAAGTCCTTCGGACGGTTTGGTAGGTGATGCAGAGGGGATTTTCAAAGGGCCAAAGCACAATGATGAGGCAGGGTGGTTTTCTGATGATTCCGAGAAAATGACGCATGGAAGCAAAGAGGAACCAGCGAAGGAAGTTCGAATGGGGGATGGTGAAGAGGCAGTGACTCGATTGGGAACTTGGAGCAAAGGGGATGCAGAAGCTTACGATGGGCGTGAAGCAGGCGAGGCTATGGTGTTGGAAGATGAGCGGATCGTAGAGAATGGGGCGATTGGTGGCAGAGAGGCAAGGGTCGAAGTGGTTGGGGTTGTTGGTGGGCATGAAGATGGTGGTTTGTTTGCTGATGTGCTTGCAAGCTACCCTGAGAGCCCATTGAGATCGCCGGGGAAAACGGAAGTCTATCGGGGTCGGTATGAAGTCTTGCAGGTTGTAGGGGAGGGGGCGTATGGCATTGTCATGCAGTGCAAAGACCATCTCACGGGGGAAATCGTTTCCATCAAGGAGTTTAAGGTCTCTCCAGAAGATTTGGATGCAGATGAGGTTCGGCGAATCGCCAATCGGGAGCTTACGCTGTTGCAGAGATTGAATCATCCCAATGTTGTCGGCTACAAGGAGGATTTTACTATGGGTGTCAGGACGTGTATCGTAATGGAGTTTGTGCCACGGAACTTGTTGAGTTTACTCATTGACAAGGATGGACTAGGTTTGGAGAAAGATGTTGTTAGACATTTCATTTTTGAGCTTTGCAAGGCAATAAGCTTTATGCATGAGCAGAACGTCATATACCGAGACGTCAAGCCCGAGAATCTTCTCATTACGCAAGACGGCCACCTGAAAGTCTGCGACTTTGGCTTTGCTAGGCATCTTGACGTAGATAGATCTCAGTTGACTCCTTACGTCGCCACGAGGTGGTATCGTGCACCTGAGCTGCTGATCGGACGCCTTTGCTGTCAGGGTAGGGACCTCTCTCCCGTTTACGGAAAGCCAGTCGATATGTGGGCCATTGGCTGTTTGATGGGTGAGCTCATTGAGGGGAAGCCGATGTTTGGCGGCGAGACGGACATCGATCAGCTGTACCAAATTCAGAGAGTGCTCGGTGCCCTTTCCCCTTCGCTTCTCGCCAAAATGAATGCTCCTGCCAACGTTGGATTTCCTATCCATGGGCCTCCTCTGACATTGCGCGAAAGGTATCGGGGTCTCATCTCCGACCAAGAACTCTCCTTCATGGAGGGGTTGCTCCGGCTCGATCCTCTTGAACGGATGTCCGGCAAGCAATGTCTGCGCCACCCATATTTATGGGACTTGACGAAGACGGCAGGAGGCTAGAGAAGATTCACACCAAAGTAATGCCATGTGCATGTGATGTTTATTGATCGGGTGCGCTGTCAACCACCTAGCGATCGCTCTGCCGCCGAACAGGGTTATATTCTTTTTCCTTGTTCGCTGTGTTCGCAATGCTTGTTATGGTGTCTTTTTGTCCTCTGCACTCTTTTTACCCATATCCACTCCCTGTATGCTTCAGGCTATGGTGAGTGATTGTTGCCTTTCTCCTCCCAGTCGCTGTTCTGGGAAGCTGTTCAGCTTCTACAGTCGCTGTTTCACCTGCGCTCTTCCTTGAAATCGGCTGCAACTTCCCTCATGTTGCTCCCACGCCTTCTTGCTCTGTAGCCGCATTTTCCTTTATCGTGTTCGTTGTGTTTCTAGGTTGTCATTTTAATCTTCTTTTCTGCAGTCCTCGAACGATTCTTTTTTCCCTTATATAAGGGTGACAGCCTTGAGATATGATCGCTGAATCGGACTGCATGTGGATTCAAACTTGGGTCTGTATTTCAACAGTGCATGGGTGTACCAACTGAGCTAGGCCAGGTGGTACGTCTCTGATCGATTCTCTCATCTGGTCTGCAGCATTTCCTTGAATCTCTGTTCATCAGGTTGCAGCTTCTGTTGATCAGATTGCATCTGGATTCGAACTTGATTTTGTATTTCAACAGTTCATGGGTGTACCAACTGCACTGGGCCAGGTGGTACGTCTCTGAACGAGACTCTCATTTGGTCCACAGCATTTTCTTGCATCTCCTGCCTGCATCCTGCCGCTACCGATCAAGTTGTCCGCGCTGCAGTTTTCCGTCCAGTTTGGCATTCCTGCGCTCATCAAGAGTATTTCTCAAATTGTTAATCAGCATGTCAGTGGTACCCCATGAATTCATTTCGTGACAAGACCCCTTGAATTAAATGTGTCCTTTGCGGTTTCGCCCTTCCACGCAGCAGCACCGCTTGCCAAGTTTCCATCCTGCCGATATCTCGTATTCTCAAGTTCTCGCTTCGATGGATCTTCAATTTGCTTGGCCTGAGTCAAACTTCGTATTGTCGTTGGCGTCACCCGACTGTTTCTTGAATCCACCAGTACACCCGGGTCTTGAGGAGTCACGCTGAGCTCCAAGCTTTGCCGAATCGCCAGCGGTGCGCACTTCTTTTTCCTTTTTTTCCCCAGTGCCGCGAGCCATTCTCGTCCGGTAGCCCTGAGCCTCAGAAAGTTAGGAGGGTAGGTGATGAAGAAATCTTGCTCCTTTCCCTTTTTTGGCTGGGGCTGCCGTGTGCTGATGGTTAAACGTGTTCGTCCTCTGATTCTTTGTTTGTTTTTCCTGGTGAGCTGTCGCCGACCTGTTCGGCGACCTGTTCTGCCACCTTGCTCCTTTCTATGGGCCTCGCCACACTGCTCACGAATCCCACACAAGAATTTTTGGAGCGCTCTCGAACACCAGATTTCCAAAAAACTCGTCCGAGAGCGCCCTTTGCCACACCGGGGCTCTCTCGAATTCGGGCACAGGCGGGCGCTCTCGAACGGAACCCGGCGAAATCTCATAGAAACCACTTGTCCGTTGTGCGGTTGGCTCTCAGGATTTCCAGGCCAAAACAGGGCTCACCTCCGAGGACCCCTGAATTTTCCTCATACTGCGGGCGGGCAGGCGCACAGTCGAATTCCGGGGAGTGCTCTCGGAACGACCCTTCTGACAGCTCCAATGTGCTTTTCGTCAGCGACGTCTTGAGAGTTGGTGAGGCAATGTTCGGGAGCAGTGTGGTGACTCTGGCGAGGCCCTATGTGTCTTCTCCCATTTCCGTCACCGTTCCCTCAGTGTTATGCCTCCTCCCTCCCTGCGGACCTCTCTCCTTGCCCTTCCCTCTCTCTTCCAACTCTTTGCGTGCGCGGTATGCCGCTGTGCATGCCTTTGCTCGTCCACACTCGCCACGTCCTTTAGCCGGCTCTTACATCGCTCTCCTTCCGGCTCGTGTGGTGCCGCCTTTCTCGGAACCCCCTGCAGGTGACCCTTCATTCGCCAATTCTCCATTTTCATCTCATTTGTAGGGGTCACCAAGGGGTGCTATTATTTTGACTGGCCAGCGGACAATTGTTGCTTCCTTTCCGTTCAGTTTATATTCAATAAACATCCCAGTTGTTGCGAGGGGTGTGCTGCTCCTGATCCATGTACTCTGAATTGAAATAGGATAAGGATATAATATATAGACAGACCCGGGTAGCGTTTCTTCTTTTTGCAGATTTTCTTTTTGGTCTGCATCTTTTCTTCTATGTCTACTGGCTCTCCTGTGATCGTCTTTGCGGTTCCACAGCTTCAACTTTGTGTTCCAGTGTCGCGAACCTCAGCGCTACCATAATCGGACTAACTCGAGCCGCGAACCTCAGCGCTCCTACAATGAGGCTTGAAGGTTAAGAGGTAGAGAAGGAGGCGCCTTCTGGAAGAGAGGTAATGCATTAATAACGACTTGACAAGTCGTTCTGGAAATCAGAAAGGTGTTTTGGGCTAGTGCTGACGTGGAGTGGTCAGAGGCAGGGCAGCTGTCCGAATTCCTGACAGCTTTGTATACGATGGATAAAACTGCAAATCTGTGGGCTACCGTCGTCACCCGAATAGAACGCCCGGTCAATATCGCTGCATCTGGACTGAAAAAGCCCTGAAATACAGGTATAATGACTGGGCGATCTATACGGGTGGAAGAGGGTAGTGCCGGCGATGACAGACAAGTATATGCCTCCAAAAGGCGAGTACACCCGGTCCTGGAGGCGTTGCATTGTGCACCAAAAGCTTTTCAGAACCGCCAGTGGCATACATTTTTGATTAGCCTCTTTTGGCTGGCGACGCCTGGCATCCCCGCCACTGTGACCCGGTAGCCCCAAGCCCGGAAGAGTACGGAGTCGGCGACTCGTGATTTTTCTGCAAGGCTGGGGCTGTGTGCTGGTGGTGTAAACCACCAGTCCATCCGCAGCCGGCACTGTAGGTTTTCTTTATACGCAAGTACCAGACCAAAATCTCCGGTGCCCAGGCCTGGCGGAGGTCCGGTGGGTGCTCAGATGAGGCATGCCTGCCTGTCGTTTTCGACGCACACATTGCTGGTACCGCTATCACCTTAGATTAGCCAATTCACTGTACCGGTCGAAATCAGGCTCGGCGGAATGCATTTTGTGGTTCGTCAGTTATGATGAGGATGGACTCGTGGCTTAACCAAGGATGGGGGCAACCAGATGAACAAGTGGGGAGAAGTGGAGTTGTTGACTGGAATAGATCTGTGGAGCACGATGCAGGCGGAGGTGATCCAAGGCACTGGGTTTCCAAAAGAGGTATTTGAAGGCAAATGAAGTGACGACTGCTGCGCAACTGCGTGCTTGCATGTGCGGAGTACCGTCTTCCCATAAACACGATGCTTACACCCGTACTTTGAATGTGCACAAGCTATCCCTTCGAAGCAATACGCATTTGACCCGGGTATATGTTCTGTCTGGGGGAAGATGGTAGGCCTGAAGAAAGGGAAAGAATGTCGTAGTCTGAACTGTGGTGGTTTGTGATAGGTCTGCAGGTCTGCCGGCACTGTGGAGGGGACCGCTGAGAGGGGGCATTCCAGTTCGAAGGAATCAGCTGCTTGGCTTCGAGTATCTCATATATGATGTGGTCGGCAAGAGTGCGAACGCATATGACGCAGAGGGGAAGCGGAACAGTTGCTGCGGTGGACGATCACCGGCTACGTAACGAGGTAAGAGTGCAAGCGCATACGAAGCGGAGGGCTTGTGACAGGGCTGCAGGTCTACAGGTACTGCGGAGGAGACCGCTGAGAGGGGGCATTCCAGTTCGAAGGACTCAGCTGCTTGGTTTTGAAGATCTCATACGATGCGGTAGGCAAGAGTGCGAACGCATATGAGGCAGAGGGGAGGAGGAACAGTTGATGCGGTGGACGATCACCGGCTACGTAACGAGGTAAGAGTGCTAGCGCATACGGAGCAGAGGGCTTGTGACAGGGCTGCAGGTCTGCACGGCTGAGATTGGGCGACCAGTTTCAAGGACATCAGCTGCTTGGCTTTGAAGATCTCATATATGATGTGGTCGGCAAGAGCGCGAATGCATTCAAAGCAGAGGGGAGGCGGAACAGTTGCTGCGGTGGACAAGCACCGGCTACGTAACGAGGTTTTTTTTTTTCAGCTTTTGCTTCCAACAATCAATGAGCCACGACTTTGTTATTGATTCAGATGTGATTGTCTGTACAAGTGGACGGATTCTACATGCCACGGAGAAGGAGGAATGAAACAGTTGCGGGGGGTGGAAGGTGCTACCCAACCCCATCGCTCCTCCGATGTATATATTTCATGACTGTGGGCAGCATAGCTTCGCTGCTATGCGGATATCTTCATGCCTATGTGACGAAGAAAACGATGGACGACAAGTTTTGCGGGTAAGCCATATTCGTTTGCGATTCCATCGATTGGTCGCTTTCCTTGTAACCATTGATTAAGCGATTGAATTTTTATATAGGCACTTGCAGCAGCTGGGGGGGGGGGGGGAAGATTGATCACATTCCTTATATTGGTTTTGCAAGTGACAGAGTTGAGTAGATGGGGGGGGGAAGATAACTTTTGCAGAGCTGTATATTTGCTGGTGGGGCTGGTGGCATCCGATGCCACAAATTTCAAATTTTATGAGAAAAAAAAAAAAGTTTTTGAGCTCTTTTGAGGCTTTCCTGTCCGGCGATTGTCGTCCTCTCCGCGTCTGTTTACCAGACATGTCCCTGATTTGATTTGGCACTTGCTGTTCTCCCGCGTTCTCCTTGCGTGCGAAAGTAGTGATCTCGTTGAGAATCTTGAGATCCTTTTTTTGTTTTTTTTTTGTGGTGGTGGTGGTTGGGGGGGGGGGGGCGCGGCGGAGTTTGGCGCCTGCAGGTTGAGATCTGTATTCCCGGTTTACAGCGTATGTAATTTGATTTTTTTTCCTCTTTTTTTCTGAAGGACATTTGTATTGTTTGATTTTGATTCGGCATTGTTTTCACTCGGTAGAGGAAAAGCTCAATAAGCAGGTACATCAATTGGGGGGCCTCTAACGCAGAAGAGCTCTGTGAGAAAATCAATCACATCCATGCATAGATGGAAATAAGACCCTTAGTCCTTCGGGAGATCCGTTAAAATTGGAACGATACAGAGAAAGAAGATTAGCATGGCCCCTGCGCGCGCAAGGATGACATGCATAAATCGAGAAATAAGACCCTTGCTTTGGACCGATCCTCCCTGTCGTCCTCTGCCCATGGAGAAGGAATAAGTACTGAGGAAACCCAAGAAAGATGCTCCTGCCGCTTTCTGATGACCCAGTGGAGATTCAACTAGCATGTGGTTCGCACACCTTGTGCCGTGAGAATTGTGCCGTGAGAATTATGAAGGGATAGTCCATGCGAGGTTTTGCTTTCATATGTACGAAGATAGTCAGCACTGCACTCATTTACGACACCCTGACATGTCATGTCCAATCTGCAGACGGGCTGGAATGACAATGTGTCTATAATTGCAGTCGACGTGCCTCCTTGTTCCTAGCATGTAGGCGCCACCTAGCCTGCGACATCCGTCTGCACCGCGCCATTCGATGCAGCAACTGTGACTGCGAAAATTGGATGCGGTGCTTCTGTACTCCACTCCCGAACCGGTCCTGTCCGGTCCGTAGGGGCGGCCACTTACCATAGGCAATAGCCGATAGCCGATAGCCGGTCCTGTCCGGTC